GTAAAAATTTAAATTTTCAAAATTTGGCGCCTAATATCTCCGAAGATTCATCGAAAATCAACAATCTAAAGAACCATAGCTACGTGCCTTGTCTCTGCCTATGTCAAAATGTATCAAATGTTAAAATCCGGCAATTATTGTAAATGTTACGACAAAATTTCAAAAATTAACCACTTCGGTGATTTCGGACATTTCGCATTGTCACAGAACGTTCAAAATAGCTTTAATCTCTAAGTCACACTCACTTTCCCAGTGAAACCGAAGAAATTGGATCAATCCGACAAGTAGTTTCTGAGATATGATCAAAATGGAAAAAAAAAAATAATAATAAGAATAATAATCCGAACAAAAACAATAGTGTTTCACACAAGCTACGCAGTATGAAACCCTAATAAGAATAATCTTAACAAAAACAATAGTGTTTCAAACCCTAATAATCCGAACAAAAACAATAGTGTTTCACATAAGCTACGCAGTGTGAAACCCTAATTACACATTGGCGAACTATTTGGCGTGATAAATTAATATCTCCAATAATCCAGTAAGTCTTGCGTATTTCAGCTGCTGTTCTTAGATGCCCTCCATGTAGTGAATACATATGCCTCTATAAAGCTATAAGATGGCTAATATAACTTTTCTTCAGCAGCAGATACGGATGACGAATATCGTACGATATTGGTGCTTTGTGAATTCTTCCTCCAACTCTATATACTTGATCTGTATCGTCCTAGATTGGTTCTAGTTTCATTATATGGCGGTTATCGAAATTCAAATCGGTTTGGGCATATCTAATCCAGTATAATTCAGCTTCATTGTTTCTTTTGCGAGAGGGACAACTAATATTCGTCGTTAAATCTTTTAAAGATTTATTCCTAGGGATATCCTTAAGCGATAAAATTCTTGCTGTAACGATTACCAGACGAGTCCAACTTGAGAACCGTCGAGGATCCAAGAATGGAATGTCTTGATTAAGTTGAGCTGCTAATATTTTGGCATTTCTGACGTGGTATTTCTTAAGTTCTGCATCTTCTCTATCAATAAAACATTAGGGGTTATTGGCCCGTTAATTACTGTGCCTAGTTCATTAGCTTTTACTCCTCGGGACACAAAGTCAATTATATGCTGATCACTTGGTACATAGCAATGTCTTTCACGGGATTAAACTCATATGTAATCTCTCCAACACGATACGACACACATGAAGGAAAAGATATTGACTGTCCGCGCAACCAACTGATTGCTGTGATACTATCTGTCCAGATCTCCCTGTAACTTATCTCAAGTCGTAAAGCGGTTCTAATTGTGATCATCAATCTTGAAAGCAGAAGTACTGCTTCTTTCCGTGGAAAACATGACTGTTTCAACGGTGTAAGTCGAGCTTTTGTACATACACACGTTAAATCTGCCTCATCTTCATTGTCTGGCGATCTTAACCAAACTCCTATTCCCATGGCATCCTCTGACGCGTCGCTTAATCTATGTAGTGATGGACTTGGTAAATTGGGCTTTCCACGTAACCTCTCAGGTACAAGACAACATTGAATTTCTATTGCACTAACATTCTGCAAATCACGTTTAATTGTCTCTGAAGTTTTATGTAAATCACTATATGGACTAATCGGATCATCCCAGTCCATTTCATACTGCCAGAGCTGTTGTAATAGAATTTTTGGGCGTACCAAGATACCAGATAAAATTCCATAAACATCGTAATAACTGGCTGTCATCCTCAAAATATTACGTTTTGTGGGAGTGAAATCCTTTAAGGGAACTCCCTTCACACTCCGAGTATCTTTGTTAAGATTCCATTTCGTTCCAAGTACCATTGTCGTACTATCATCCGGATAATATTCGGGATCACAAAGTTTTTTCTCATTTGATAACCATTTTCGAATTTTAAAGTTTCCCTTCTCTAAGGTCAATATAAGTTTAGATTTAAATTTTTTGGCAACATTTAACGATCTTTGTGAGTCAGTTAAGTCATCAACATAAAATTGGTTGTTGGCAATTCGTTGAATTTCAGTATCAAAAGGAGCATGTTCAGCCGCGACGTGCCGTAAAGCGATAATAGCTGCTGCTGGGGAAGGCTTATCTCCAAACGTAACTGTTGGCAATTCATAAACGTCTATAGGATCTTCAGGTTTCTTACGAAAAACCTAACGATGAAATCTAGAGTCATTTGGGTTCATTCTAACAGCTTGAAACATTTTACTAATAGTCTGGAGGCTCAGCGCTGGGGGGGGGGGGGGGGTCCATCAAATGGGCACAAAACAAGACCCAACTTTTCTAGAGTAAAATTTTGCGTAGAATACGATGCCGAGTGGGAATCAGTCCGCCGTTGGGGCCTTTTCGAGATATTCGGCGTCAATGGTCAAATGGGTTCATTTGCACTAAAAGTGATTGCGCAGTCATTCTTGTATTATGTAAAGATGCTGAAAATGGTCGGAAGTAATCACACTTTCAATAAAAATGTAAACTTGCTAAATTCACCTTTGTTCTTTGTGACCCCGAACTGTCAAAATTGTAGTTTTTGTTACGTCACTTCCGGTGCCGAAAGGAAACTTCACCGGTAATAATAAAAATGACATTTTGGACCACGGAGCATATGAACTTTGTTTTATACAGATCGAACAATAAATAATTAATCTAGAAACCATAAACTGAATTAGCCAATAGCGGCCAAGGAAAATTATCGAAAGAAAAATTGTTCATATTTTTGCTCAAATCACATGTCCCTTTAATTCTGGGTAAAACGCCATAAAAAAAATTATTCATAAATAAAAAAGTTTTTTGTTAAAATTAAAATTTTCAAATATTGGCGTCTAATGTCTCCGAAGATTCGTCGAAAATAAAACATCTAAAGAACCGTAGCTATTTTCCTTCTCTCAGACTATGTCAAAATGTATCAAATGTTAAAATCCAATGATTATTGTTAATATTACGCCACTATTTCAAACAACGACAACTTGGTAATTTCGGACATTTCGCATTGTCGCAGAAAGTTCGAAATAGCTTTAAACGCCAAGTCACACCCACTATCCCAGGAAAACCGAAGACATCGAATCAATCCGACAAGTGGTTTCTGAGATATAGTCAAGTGGGGGAAAAAGAAGAAGAAGAAGAAGAAGAAGAATCTTACAGATACATTAGTTAAGAGTTTTATAAAGAGTTGGCCATTCTTGCTATAATAATTCAAAAATAGATGATAAAAAAAGAAAATGTTGAAAATTTAAGTCAAATTACTTTGCTCTGAACGGAATTGTCACTGTTAGAAGTTTGGACTAGAAATAGGCATCAATTGTGTCTTCACCGTCTATGAGCATTGGCGATCGTTTGATTGACAAACGATAACTTCACCTACATATTCGCGATTATCAAGTAACATGTTCAATGGCTATGGTAACCTCGCTTGGCAGACTTTTCATCACTAGTTTCCGGTTGTGACATCAGCGAGTAACGGTAAACGTTAGCTTGGTCCGCCATTTATTGATTTAATTTTTAAAAGGACGAGGCTGTTTAAATCCAAACTGTATCCAAGTCATCCTTGGGTCTACAGAGTTGATTTTAATTTTTCGTGTAAATAAAGGTCTAATTAATAATTTCTATAACATCTGAAGCCTAATTAAAGACTTGCAATAGGCAGATTTAGCTCTTGCATAATGTATGTTTAACAAAAACAATAGTGTTTCACACAAGTTATGTAGTGTGGAACCCTAATTACAACACTATTACAATGAACAATGTAAGTCAAAGATTGAAACCCAACTGATAACCAAAGCCTTTGGCTTAATAAAATATGCGATTACATTATCCTAACATTATCAAAACCCTGCGGCTGCCTCATTTGGAACGTAGCCAAATCTTACAAAGAAACGTCGGAAATAGTCTTGATTTAAATGTCTAGAATCATCATAATCAGTACATGAATTTGACATAAAATGCTCTACAACTTCTTATAACATATTCACTAGAATATAAAATCCACTTACAACTTGTGAGGGGCCTTAGGGACGTTAATTTATAATCTTGGTCATCCAGAACCTCCTAGTCTTCAACGTACGGAGGGTCTGGGACCGTTGTCAATATTTGGTTAATTATCCAATATTATTTGCCCAAGTCAAGTAAGAGTTGCGCCCCTTTCCGAAATAAATCCTATAATTCATGCATTATTAATAAACAAACATAAATCGTGAAGACAAATTAGGATTCATTAAAAAAATATTTAATTGGCAATGCAAATGGATTTTCTGAAATGGAAATTCCTAAATTAATTTCATGGGCGTCGACATCTTGTTTTACGACTAGTTACCTCCCTTAGAATTTGTTCATGATAATATAAAAGGATGGATAATCTAGCCAATAACCTGGGGGTGGGGTGGGGTGCCGCGCTTCGAGCTGGCCGGTCACCTCTGGCTTGCGGTTGTGGTTTCGATGCTTAGTGTTAGCGTATGTGGCTTGGAGATAGTGGCGCCTTCTCAACCTGGTAGGTTTACTACGGGTACTCCTGTTTCCCCCAACAGGAAAGACCCATGCGCGTGCTCTAAGATAATAAAAATGAAAAATAAGACTTGTCTGCGGCATCACCTTCGGTGGAAGCGAACGTTAAACAGTAAGAACAACAACAACAGCCAATGACCTATTATTCTAAAATGTTGACAACCCATCCAGATTAATATTCGTACAATATTTTTCTGGGTGATAGAGACTAGTTAATTTATCGTTGCGTTTTCTTTTTCTGCTCTAGCGGCACCCATTATGCGTTGGTGTGGTTTCACATAGTTCAAATTATGCACTAGGATTCCTAGCGTTTAATTTATGGATCTGGATCAAATATTGATGCTAATATGGACTTCTGCCGTAACAGTTACAGCGCGACATTGCCACGTCTCTAATTGTTTGAAATAGTTCTATTTAATTTGTTCGGTGTGATACAAGCAATCTGTTTCATGTTGCATGTTTTAAATTATAAAATGTCACCTTTTTGGGTTTTTTTTTTACAGCCTACGGCAAAACCTTTAGTAAATGTTCCTTGGCCCAAGAATTGGTTCGTGATGGTGTATCTAGAGGAGAAGTTCATCACTGTAGGTATACTTATTAACTTGTAGGTTTGTCATTTTTTAATACCATATATCGTTTTTTACGGGAAATAGATAAGTGGAAACACTGGGTGAATTAACCGGTGCATCTGGCCACCCGGGATACAATCATAATATATAGGACCAAAATTTGTACTTATTTTTACTTGGTTAATTGTGCAGTACGTCGCGATAGACTTCAGTAAGTAGTACCAATCTACATTAGCTATGCCCTAGTGTTAACTGAGATCGAAGTAACGGAGATACCACAGTTAAAGTAGCTAAGTCTCTAACTCAGTACCACCCAAAGTCTTCGACATTAAAATCAAGAATTATTTGTCATTTTAAATTAAGATTGATGTTGTGATCTTACCGGGAAAAGATGGGCTTCTGATATCCAATATTTAAGACAAAATAAACATTTTACCATTGGTACACGAATCGTGTACCATACTGCCCTTCGGCGCCATTTGTAACAAGGGACTCGAAGAATGCCACTAGACATATTCCACAAGTAATGTCAAACGGTGACGTTATAGTCTTATCTTGAGAGCATGCGCAATAAATACTATCGGTGTAGACTGGAATACATGAAATGAAATGGAGTTTAACGTCCTACTGTTCTGCTCCGAACTGGGCTAATCAAGACGGACATACGCTATACAGTGTGCTATGAGGAAAATTTTGCCCGGACAGTGACACTACGGTCTACCCTTATATCGAATTCCAACAGTCAAGGGATCTTTTACGTGCACGACAATGTGTATACGGGACCTTGGTTTTTCGTCGCATCCGAACGACTAGACAGCTGTTCTTGTCAGGCCCTCTTTCCTGCATCACCGACAAGGGAAAACCACGCCCGAAAATCTGGATGAACTTTCTCGCCCAACGCAGGGATCGAACACCGGACCTCCAGACTAGCGAGCCGCGTCTTACCCACTTAGCCGTTTCATTAAGACTTCTGGCATAACTGATTAGACATTATAGTTAAACAGAAACGATTGAGTGTAAATCAGTTTATAAACATTCATATTACATTATTTTATGCGTTACGACCCATTTGTGTCAATTTCTAGGTCCTAAATATTAGAGATTTAGCTCCATTACGTTCACTACGTGTACAAGTATAGAAATAATCGGACTATACCCCGGTTTCTATAGACAATGTCAAGATTTGCCCTAACCTACTAGATACCAATCCAAGTCGGTGGATAAAACGCCAGAATCAAGATACAAAATGTAATCCAAATAGTTTCATTCTACAGATGTCCATCCATTGGTCCATGAAGTGTCAATGTCACACTATTCTAAACCCCCGACAAAACAGCATCGATTTAATTCACAGTCTATATACTGGAGCATATAAGAATCGCTTTAGATGAAAAATGATCACATGGTGGAAATTTGCAAGACAGGAAGAGTGAAGGCATATACAGCTGCTGCTTTTGTCGACATAAAAACCAATACTATAATTAATGCTCTTCTGACCAATTTCCCACGCGTATAATACTTGGAATTTACATTCTGACAATGTTGGAATTTGAATATGTATTATATTACGAAAATGTAGACAGGACTTTTGACCTCATTCCAATTCATTATCTGTTTAACTGACAGAGAAAGCATTTGTTTTGTAACTGAGTGGAAAATATATTTATATGAAGTGTAGACTAATACTGGTAGTGATTACAATATGTTTCGTGTGGTAATTGGATTAACACGGATAGCATAGAGATGATAAAATATTTTTTCAAAGTATGGTTTACAGTGACAGTTTTCAATATAACAATTACTGTTTCTTTTAAGGGGTTTGCCTGGCACAAGCGGAATCTGGTATGTCAACAACAGCTTCCAATGTAAACACTGATGGTTCAGCTGATCACGGAATCTTCCGTATCAACGATTACTGGAGCTGTAGACCAAGCAATGGTAGAGTTAGCAAAAACGCATGCGGTCACTCTTGTTCTGGTAAGTTTTGCATATTTCGGATTTATGTATTATGACTGGTCATAGTTGACCGTCGCTAGCTCGGATACCCTAAGGTCAAATAATTCGGCTGTTTAAGAACCGATGTCGAAAATGAGTGAATGGCTATCGCACTAAAATGTATCAAACAAACGGGTGTCGGATTATAGGACCAATGAGGATGTCCATCTCCGGTAACCTCCCACTTCTAAAGACACCTACGCGCAAGTGAAGTATTGAAATAACATTGTATCATATGTTTGTCCCGAAATGAGGATAAGTAATTAATTTAAAAGTGTGTTGTCTCATGAAAAATCAACCCCTGCTATCGCCTCGTCCACCTGTAAATGTCAAGATTCTTCAATCAAGATCTACAAAATAAATAAATGTACAAATTTGTACTTTAATGGGAATTATAAAATTCTTAATTTTCAGATTTCGAAGATTCTAACTTGGAAGATGATGTCGCTTGTGTCAAACAGATAATGATCTGGCATCCCCGCGACTTCACTCGTTACTCGTAAGTTCATCATTATAAAAACTTGTCGGCAATTTTATAAAGATAGTCTGGTGCAGAAAAGTATCATTGCCAATTAATGATATTATTTATTACATAATATGTCAGTAACTGTAATATATCACATAAGGTGATAATGATTTATTCAGTAATAAGATCATGATTATGATCCTCCATAGATATATATAAAATATTTCAGTATACCGATTAAAACATCTATATGAAGAATCATTTCAAATTTCAATTACTGATAAAGAAGACTTTCAACATGACAACCGTGATATTTATGAAATATAAATCTTTTGTCGATCGTATTTTACAATGACAGAAATCATAAAAAAGCTTCTCGGAACGGCTCTATGACCTTTAAGATTTAAGAGTGAACTTTTTACCGCAACAATATATTGGTCAATATCCTAATCGATTTAAATTTGGCCTGTTATAAATGTGCTGATTATGATCTTAACACCCTTTCGTCTTTATCGACATATCGCCAAAAAGCACTTTATTTCAGACGTTTGAAGTTATGAAGTTATATTTTAAAAATAATTTTATAGACATTATATGATTATCATTGTTTAATAAAATATGACAATGTAAATAGTATTCATATCAAATAAATAAAATATTTACATAAGCTACATTCAATTTTTAATGTTTGTAATTCTGTAAGTAGTTTCGACTTATATGACGCTGACACGCTATTGTTATAAAGGCTTAATTCCATCCCACGGTTATACGCATAACCATAAAACAAGGAGTGTGGTCGCAGTCCAACCTTGTGAATTTCGGCGGATTTCCAGTCACTATATAACCCAGTGCTCATATGATTTATCTAATGCAGCGAATGTGATATTGGGGAAAAAACAGGTGCAAACTATTTAAAAGGACGATCCATCTGGACATTTTAGGAAAATATTTGTATACTTTAATGCCTCTAATTTTCAAACAGATTATACCACACATTAATGTAACACCTTTCATCTTTGATTTCTTGTGCTCGGTTCCAACCTCCTTCATGCGTTAACCAAATTCGACGTCGTCATAATTTTGGGAATACAATACAGAGAAATAGATTAAAAGCAGGCTTGAAAATAACGGTTTTAGATGTACCTGACAAAATGTCAGTCAATAATGAAATAGTACCTGACATTTTCAACTTAGTGTCGGACATGTATTAATAATATCAGTAAAAAATGACATGCACCAGAGGTTTTGTGCCAGACAAAGCCTTAATCTGTGCCTGACATTGTTTGTGACAGGTGTCCTATTTCCAGGCTAGATTAAATTCTCTAAATAAATAGTCGAGATGCCTTCACATTGAAATGTATTCCATAGTTCATTGCCCTTCTATAAATAAATAGCAGGAAGTATAATTTTTCTGAACGCATTTCTTACTGTTGATGTTGCTGCTGGTAACTTTATACGAAAATATAATTAATGTGTTTTCCCTCGTTCTTTTTAAGCGCTTTTCGCACGCGCTTTTCCATGGCTTATCTGTTGCTAAATATAAACTGAAACTAGGTTTATCAAGTTTATGTTATTTATTACTGAGCTAATGTATTCATCTCTCTTCAGATATGCTTATAGGACGCATTGTAACGGAACCACCGCCAGTTATCTCAGTGGATGTTCTTATTAATTCTTTAATAAAGTGTTGTTTTTGCAGTTATACGTCGTCTTTATATTCGGCTTAGATAACATCTCCTCCCATGGGGCCGCGCTTGGTAGCTCTGGGCTCTCGGGCCTACTGGTTTCCTTCGACCTCCACGTAACATTTTGAAGTTTTAATGGAAGAAGGATCCAAGACTTGCTAAAGAATATGATAAACCTGTGTGTTTCCCCACTACCGAAAAACCCTTTACGTATACATAACAAACAGCTGAAATATAGAGTTGCCTTGTTTAGTCCCGAAATAGCTTAGTAGTTTTGCCTGTAAACGTTTTTAAAAAGCATCCTTTACAGGCATAGCCATTGTCATTTTTATCACGAGAACATTTGAAACGGTTCTCCAAAACCCTTGAAAGATCACACAAGGATTTCAGTATGGTAAATCTTACGGATATAAACCACTTGACTACGACCGGATATAGATGAAGAAGGGTCCTATGCTATCCCACTTATGAGGCTCGTCCAAATCCCTCACGCTCATGACTAGAGAAAGATGAAAGTGTGTTTTAAACACAATTGTGTAAACCCGGGGATGATGAATATAGGTTAATCAGGCACTGTCTACCCCTCGCCCCATATATTGCAACAGCCTATATATATTAAAGTAGATAAAGTATACCTACGGTAGATAAATAAAATAAAATCAACCACTTTACTTCATTTTGATATACATCAAATCATCAGCTAGCTGCCTACTCTATACAGCAGAATTAAAGGCAATATCAACAGCTCTTGGGTGGCTTCTGTCTTCCATCGTTCAAAGAGCCGCCATATTGTCAAATGTCTTTAGCAACATAGAGTCAATAATATATAACAAAACAACCTCTAGACCAGAAATTGTTCAAAATATTCGAGCAAGTGTTTATTCTCTCCGAAATAAGAATAAAGCCGTAGAATTTACATGGATAGCATTGTTAAAACTAAAATTAAATCAGAATGAAAATTTGGGTTGGCCAGAGCAAATACCTTTAGATCCAAATTAAATAACGATTTGGTTGTAAAGACGGGGGTCAATCATCCGTCGCGCAAAATTTGTGGGTTAATCACAAGACTGAAAACTAAAGATTTAATAACCGACAATTGGATGGTGCTGGTAGATTTGTTATTGTTTGGGGTAAGGTAGTTTTTCTTTCTTTTTTTTTGAGCAAAAGTACAACGTGGTTGATTAATTTCGGCTAATTAGTAAAATAATATGTACCTGATCAGGCATAATAATTGTGTAGCAATAATATTTTCTGTGAGCTGATAGTGAAAAAACTTCAATCAGTCAAGAGGTAATTGGTAGTTGACTAGGTAACCGGATGTGAACACCTTGCTTGATACGGCGTTTACTGGAAGTGGGCGTGGCCTGCCTATGCGTTTGTCTGTCCAAAGCGATTGTCATTGTTGTTCTACAAATTGAAAACAAGTATGGTGGTTGTTTTGGGCGTTACCTTTTTTATTTAATTATTTCTGTAGTTTTGTAATCGGAGTTCAGCTTTAACCTTTAATCATGTCGTTACTGCCTGCAATAAATTGGAAAAGTCTCCCTGTAAGAAGTTTAATGGAAGATGTCAAACTTCAATTCACCTTCCAAAATATGTTATTTCCCCTTTCGGAATATGTCATATAAGATTTATGAGGCGATCTCAAAATTCATATAGCAGAATCGGGAATAAAATGTTATGTTAGTTGCGAAGAAAAGAGCACTTGTCATGGAAAGATAACTTGTTGTGTAAACCAGGTGGGCGGCTTAGCCACCTGGATGCCGCCCACCTGGATGCTTTAATAATATCAGAATAACTTGACATTAAGGTAATTAGGAACTACATATTTAGTTACAAAGCCAGGAACTATTGTTGTAGAGCAGTACGGCTGTTCAGTCGCCTTTATGATTTAATATAATAATATATTAGGGATAAATAATGACAAAGCAATAGGGGCCTACACAACCATTATTAACAATGACAGTGCATATAAATTTTAAACGCTGAAATTGTGAACCATTTTAAAGGACTTTTAACTAACTATATGGAACTAATTGGACGAACAGTAATAGACGCTGGTTCGCTAGTCTGGAGGTCGCGGGTTCGCTCCCGCTGTTGGTCGAGAAAGTTCATTGGTTCATTGGGTTTTTCCGGCGTGGTTTCCCCTTGTCAGTGTTGCAGGACGGAGGTCCTAACAAGGACAATTATTATTGTCTAGTCGTTCGCATGGGACCAAAAACCGAGATCCCGTGTACACATTGGCGTCCACGTAAAAGACCCCTTGTCAGTTGAAATTCGATATAACAGTAGGCCGTACCGCCGCTGTCCGGGCAATATTTCCCTCATAGCACACTGTATGGTGAATGTCCGTCTTCATTAGCCCAGTCGGAGCAAAACATTAGGAGGTTAAACCCATTTCATTTTATTTCAGTTTTCAATACGTAAATAATCCACGGTTCCAGCTATGTGAACTTCGGCTTCCACATATAGCAAGCGGATTTGTGTCTTAATGTGACTTTTTGATGTACAAGAACTTTTTTATTTTGTGTTTTACCCATTTTCTTTTGTTATATATATAATACGTCTTTAAATATAAATTTAATTAAATCAATCTGTCCATAATATCATATTCTAATGTATTGAACATTAAATGGTTTAGCGTCTTGTCTGCGATATCACCCGCGGTGGAAACGGGCGTAAAACCCCTACTAGCTACCTGCTTTCGCATTTAATCAACACAAACTAGGTAATTTCGGTACTACCTTATGGTAAATCTTCATTCAATAATTCAATTAATGAACTTAGTTGTCATCAAAAAGATAGCGGCAACTTTTGAAGTGTAAACAATTAAATAAAATAATTCTCTATTTCCAAGTGCTGGTCTTTCATAACACAGCAGTCTTTGTCACGCTATCCATAAACAAATAAAACCGTGGAAAACTGTAGAGATCTAAATCTATGTGTATAAATTTCAATAACTCCACTGCTATATCAACAGCAATGGGTTATGCAATTCACATACTCTAAATGCAATAAAGTCCCCAGGAACTGGGTGCGTCAGAGATTGATCCCCGGGATTAACTAAGTAAACTTGATGTCATTGGCCGAGTCTGTTACATCAAAATCCATTTAACATCAAATCTTATCTTCGTATAAGATCAAATCTTATCTTCGCTTCACATCCCGTAAGCATGCGGGTAATTGACCTGTCTGTGCCAATAAGCAATAATGATATAATGCACGTCAGATTAAAGGGCTCTGGTGAACACTATAGTACTGACGCAAATTTCAACAGTCACTTTTTGTTCTGACAACAAATTATTTTCTACTTTGGTCAGATCGGATAAATTCATTTTGGTGGTAACGAGATGAAAAAATTTGTATTTAAAAAATGAAGACATAAATCGACCCAATTCAAATCTTTGTTTTGACCTCACTCAAAGTTGGTTCAGACCATCTTGTAGGATTCTCAAGATAGATAAATATAAAATGCGTAAGCTGTGACAATATATATTGATGTTAAAGTTTCACTATGAAGATTTATTTTCTAATATAACCTATTACATTTTTTCATGCTGATTCCTTATTTCAGAGTATATCATGCATTTTCAATTAGGTCAGGTTTACATTCAAAACAATATTTTACATATTATACAGGGAGATGGGTTTTTGATTTATATAATATACTGCCACAAAGAATTATCTCAGATAGAATCAATCAGATAAATGGAAAACGACAATAAGTCATCCCATTCTTCAACGAAACGGTGGGGTCGCTTCGACATTAATCTAATCGCATCAACAGCATATTATCTCTGAGAAACGCGTTTGACATTAAATGGTCTGATAGTTGTTGAGTTCAGTGGGGTTTCTTCTTTATGCCACGATAAACACGATGTCATAAATCTAAACGTAAGTGGGTAGATAAATCCATGATTTACGAACGAAAAAATTATAATTTATGAATTTCGAAATGAAATAAGGGTTAACGTATTTCTACGCCGACTGGGATATAAATGAAGACATACAGTGTGCTGTGAGGGAAATTTTGCCTGGACCGCGGCACTACGGCCAATGTGTACGCGGGACCTCGTTTTTTTTCCTCCCATCTACAGTGCGCTTTGTCAGATTCCCCGTCATGCGCCGCTGACACGTGGGAACCACGCCGTAATAACCAACGAACTTTCTAAGACAACACAGTGATTAAAGACGTGACCTATAGTGAGTCAACATCTTACTTACTGAGCCACCACGGTGCCATTGTGAATTTTGACAGGGGACTTCTTTGTGAGCCAATAAACAGTTACTGCGTTTTTGGGGAAAAATTCGTAAATGTCTGTAGAAAGTTCAGAGGAAATTGTGAATGGATGGCGGACGACGGTGACAACTATATATAACTGTAAAATACATATTCCAAATCCTAACCACAAAAGGAGATGGGGTTTTTTTACTGATAACGTCATTGTTAATGTATTAATTAGAAAGGACACAAAACTTTTTGTGCATCAATTTTATTTGAAGCCTCATATGCATTCGTTTTGATAAACAGAACTATATATGTCATCTTGTAATATTTCGCACCAGACAGTCATGAGACATAAATATAACCGCATTTATTTTCAAAATTGAGGGTTTTTTTTTTTTTTGGGGGGGGGGGGGTAATTTGTTAGTTAGCTTCACGATATTTTAAAAAACTAAACAGCTTGTATGTCAACCACCATCTCTTTTATTATACAGATTACCGTATTTACCAAAATATTTAATATTATTACACTGCGCTATCAAAAAGGTGTGCCATACATTTTTCATGACCAATACTTTGATTTCATCGGTCACAGGCCAAATGAATTATTGGAGAATTCTGAATTTAATGAGCATAATATCAGATGGAAGTCTATTATTACGCACAGTAACACCTAATAATGGTGGGGTTTTTTTTTTCTTCCAGCATCAGGAAAGACCTTTACTAAATGCACGTTAGCTCAGGAGTTGGTACGAGATGGAGTT